ATACAAGTGCGCGGTTTTGTATAATAGCTTCTTTTCTCTTTACCTTAGATTTTTCGTACAATACAGCATACATTGCCGCGGAGCCCTGCCTTCGTTCGTATGCCCAGTGCAACACGTTCGTTTACTTTTAATAAATTATTATCTTTTTTACTTTAATACTTAGACTTTGTCTATTATATTTAGTGGTGAGGTGATCCGTGAGAGTGGTTCGTAAAGGAGTTGTCCGTGGCTAGATGGCTCTACTTATTTGGTTAGGTATGTCGACTATAGCGACAACAAGTAGTAGCAACGTAACAAATTCCATTAAACTACCCATAAACCATTCATTTTACCGATTGTCATCCGCTCGTTCATAAATACATACAACAAGTAAAGTGTTTTACCGCTAGGTAGCCATGTCAAACAAACCAAACCAGTAAGTAACACAAGCGCTCAGTTATTTTTATGTTTTAATAACGATGCATGATCACTCTTTCACTCTTTACTTAGTCTTTTTCCCGGGCTTGTTCTTTTCCTACCGTAAGTTGTACACTCGCTACCTATCCCCTTAATTGATGTCGAACAACGGCTTGAGCTTAATGATGAGCGACCATTCGTCATTCGTGACCTCTTTCCGATAGAACTCCTTCAGACAGTCGATGCTGGCACGCGAGATCAAGCTGTACAGTGCGTCGGTCTCCTCGAGCTGTCGGCCGTATGTCGGCTGGTGTCCGCCCATTTCAATCTTGACCGCTACCGAGGGTTGTCCCTTCTTGCAGACCGGGATCTGCTTGTGATCTCTTTCGATCGATGACCTGTGCGACTTGTGAGTATAGTGACAGGAAAACGGTTATACAAGAACGAAATTAGCGCTTGTCGAAGTATGGTCAACTTACACTCGGCCTAAACTTATAACTTCTCTGACACCTGTTGTAGGGTTCTGTTTGACGGCAGCTATCGGAGTGCCTACGCGGAGGTTACCATCCACCACATCGACTCCCACAACGATGGGATTAGTCTTGTTGAAAACCGCAACCGTGTTGAGGACGCAGGGGAAGACGGCGAGCAATTTCGACTCCTCTTTCTTTTTCTCGAGCTGCTCCTCCATGTGCTTTGTGAAGGAGTCAAACAGGTGATAAATGATGTCAGCGGTGAAGATCTTGATGCCGTTCTCTTCGGCGTATGCCTGAGCTTCCTTGTCCACCTTGACGTCGAAACAAAGCATGACAGCGTAGTCAGGACTCTTTTCCAACATTGTACCGCACTGCATTACATCACGCTTGAATACAGGGCCAATTCCCACGTTGGCCACAGGAATCTTGCAATCTTTCAAGAAATCAAGCAGTGCTTCGAGCGAACCAAGGGTTGACGCCTGCACACTGACACCTCGTCCGGATGTAGACACACGGCTGAACAGCTTATTCAAATCCGCCTCGACCTCTTCTTCTAGGTCTTCCTCATCGTCATCAGGGCCAACCACAAGCAACCGAGAGCCAGCAATAGCGCCTTCAAGTCCAGGGGCACTGATCTTGACACCCATGGCTGCCTTCACCTCCTTGTTGTGTACATATTGAGACTTGACACGCAATTCTTTCATGACAGCCGGAGTAAGCAGCGCTCGAATATTCGTAGTGATGGCTCCTTCAACACCACACACGACTATCCGGTCACCTTCCCGAAGAATACCATTTGATAAGATGACATCGATAGTCATACCAAAACCTTCAATCGCTTTGACTTCAAGAACAGTGGCCTGAACTTCTGAAAGATACATGAGCGAGCCAACCATTCTTTCTTGAGTCAGTTGTAGAATGAGTTTTAACATATCCGGGATACCCTCGCCAGTGTGAGCAGAGGTCGGGACCAACGAAACGTATCGGGCCATCGACTTGTTCTCGTAGAACAACTCGGCATTGAATCCTTGTTCGGCGAAGGCGAGCTTGGTCTGCTCCAGCCGGTTCTTGAACTCGTTCTGCACTCCTCGGCTTTGAAGAGCCAAACTCTCCTGGAACCCGTTGTTATCTACCTTCTTCCAACCGTATAGACGATCAATCTTGTTGAGTGCCACAATGAAGGGTGTCTTCCGGTCACGAAGCAGCTTCATCGATTCAAGGGTCTGAGGCTCAAGACCGTGCATGATATCGACAACCAGGATAGCAATGTTACAAAGCGAAGAACCTCTGGAACGCAAATTGGAGAAAGACTCGTGACCAGGCGTGTCGATGATCAAAAGACCTGGGACCTTCAATTCGAATTTTCCGTCCTGATTTACAACAGCAGTTTTCTGCTTGATAGCCTCACCTGGCGAAAGGGTATTAGTAGCTGATTCTAACCGTTGAGACGACGTTATGACAAACCTGGGAAGTATGTAGCACCAATCTGCTGTGTAATACCACCCGCTTCTCCTTCCTGAACGTTTGTTTGTCGAATCTTGTCCAGCAGCTTGGTCTTTCCGGTATCGACGTGACCCAAGATACAGCAAATAGGACTCCGAAGGTTTTCTTTAGATCTGGCAGCCAGGGCAGCTTGGTGCGCCTTCTCTCTCCGTTCGGCGGCCTCCTTCTTTCGCTTAACCTCGGCAGCTCGGGCAGCCGTTGTCTCCTCATCCTCAGACGACTCTTCTTCTGATTCGGATTCGGACTCGGGCTTCGGCCGTGAAGGTAAGGATTTGGCGGACTCCTTGGTAGAAACTTTCTTTTGAGCCTCTTCGTCTGAATCAGCATCCCAGCTGTCCTTGACATCGTCCCCTGAAGCCGCGGCAGCCTCCCAATCATCCTCGATCTCCTCTTCTTCCCGAGCTTTCTTAGCAGCTTCTTCAGCGGCGGCTTTTGCAGCAGCTTCTTTAGCAGCTTTGGCCTCAGCCTCCTTCGCTGCAGCTTCAGCTTGTATTCTTGCCCGCTCGGCAGCTTCGGCTAGGGCTTTCTCTTCATCCACCTACGAAACAAATTAGCAAAGCCAATACATAAGTATAAGTGAGCGAAGGGAGATTGAGAGATAACCTTTTGGTCAGTCTTCTTGCCCCGCTTTTTGCTGTCGTATGTGACCTTCTTTTTTTTCTCCTCGCCGTCTTCTGAGGGCCCAACCTGGAGACCAGCGGCAATCATCTGCTGCAGCTTCCTCTCATTGCGAGCCTTTTCTTCCTTTTGGGCCTTGGTGAGGTACTTTCCTTCTTTCTTGAGCTGCTCAATCCTCTCCTTTTCCTTTTGCTTCTTGCGGGCCTTCTCTTCTTCTTTTCGCTTAGCCTCTTCAGCTTCCTCCTTTTCTAGTGCCTCAAGGCGAGCTTTCTCAGCCTCGGCAGATCGTTCGGCTTCTTCACGTTGCCGCCGTAACTCCTCTTGCTGCTTCTGAAGGGCGGCTAGATGTGGTGGAAGCTTCTTGCCCTTTTTAGCAGAGGCTTCGACAGCAGCTGCCGGGGCTGGAGCCTCTTTCTTCTCCTCGACGGCAGCTTTTACAGGTTCTGCGGCTTTAGCAGTGGGCGCAGGTGCGGGAGTCTTCTTCTTGGCAGCCTGGACAAAACAGAGATGGTTAGAGCTCGGAATGATTTCAGATGCGAGAAAGTACCGACCTGCTCCTTTTTCCTCTGCTTCTCTCTCTCCTTCTTCAGTTTCTCTTTCTCAGCCTTGGTTAGTATCCTACCGTCGCCGGCATCGTCTTCATCGGCGGCAGCAGCGGCAGGGGCCTTAGCAGCAGGCTGGTTCTTGTTCTGCTTTCCTCCCTTCCCCTTCTTTTCTGGCAGAGCAAACTCGTCATCGGCCGTGGCTTCTTGGGGGGGCTTGAAGGCGCTGATGTCGGTGGGCTCTGGGGTGGAGGGTTTCGCGTCGCCATCGACAAAGTTCTCGGACAAGCCCTTCTTCTTACGCTTCTCTCGGTTCTTCTTCATCATGGCCATGAGGCCGCCGACGGGCGCATCATCCTCCTCGGCCTGCTCCTCGGGAGCATCGGCGGCAGGAGCGGCGTCGCCGTTTATGGGTGCAATGGACTCCCCAAGTTCAGCTTCCCAGTCGTCAGCTGCCTTCTTACCTCCCTTCTTCTTAGGCGGCATCGTAGCGGTCTAATGGGGCAATCGGCAAATACTGTCGATGACGGTACAGGGTGTTGCTACGTAGCAAAACGCAGCGAAACTGAATGGCTGTGATTGACGAGAGGGTATCTTTGTCTGTGGCGCAATCGTGAACGCAATCGTGAACGCGCGGGGACGAAGGGGGGGGGTCTGCGAGTAGCCGGGCAGATGAGGCGAGGTGGGGTGAAGGATGCGATGTTTAGACGACCGAGGAGAGATCAGGTAACGGGTCTAGTCTGGAGTCACGTCCCAGAAACTTCCAAGACATGGCACGGTCTTGTAGGCTGCTTATCTCCGAAGGCAAAAAAAAGATTGCAGGCGGAAAGAAAAAAAAAGAAGACTTGTCTCTAGCTCTTTCTCTCACTGGATGGTGAGAGGGTTCACAGGTAGGGCCAAGTATTTGGTATTTACTAGTATTTGGCAGTGGAGCTGGTTAATGTGGGTGTGGGAAGTGGGAAGGTTAGAGGCTTCTTTCAAGTGGGTAAAATAATTGTGTGAGCAGCATGTTGGGAACCTAATCGTCATAGTTAAACACCAAAAGCCTGAGGGGCCGGAGTGCGGGATAAGGACTTAAGCGAGTACTAAGAGACCTTATCTGCTATCGATAGGCATCCGGACGCAATAACTACTTGCACAGCCCCGCCATAAGTACCTGTCAAGTAGACAAGACAGCAAAAGAAGCAAGTTAAATGTTTCTGTGTATCATCATGAAATATGTGAAAAAGAAACTCCGAATCGGGGAATCGAACCCCGGGCTTGACGGCACTGATTAGGCTCCTAAAACCCCACTGAGAGTTGAACGTGCTACATTTTACTGCGTCTTCCCTCTGATTTCAGTGGTTACAAAGGTGAGTGTCATAGTCTCGAATGTAGATTGTCAGCTTCGTGGAGGGGGGATGCCTTTATGAGAGCGTCAAATGTTGGCCACTACACCAATTCGGATTGCAAAGTGTATATCAAGCGACCTCGGCCGGACTCGAACCGACAATCTCTAGAGAATCAGAATGTACCGAAATCTAGCGCCCTAGCCATTAGGCCACGAGGCCTGATTGATTGATGGAGTTGGGCGGCTCTATGGGGGCCTATGGATGAGAGGTGAAGGGAGGAAAAGTGTGGAGGCTCCACCAGATAGTTTGGTGGCGTTTGGTTGGGTAAAAGAAGTAACTTTGTCTTGTACCAAAAGCAAAAGCTTTTGTGTACTTTCTTAGTCTGGTTGGTATGTGAAGAAAGATGAACGAAGAGATACCATGCCAATAACCGGCCTTAGTTGTTAGCTTTCATATAATTTTGATCACACTACGTGATGATATCAACTCTGAACCATACAACCTGGTGATAGGCATTACTTATTATGTTAGAATTGTACGGACTATAATCTGGTGGTACCCTTATACTAACTAGACTTGACCAATACGGTCTTGGAAGGGTATTGAGTATTGCAATAATCTTCTTGCGTGTCTAGAGGTTTAAGTTCCTCCCTCCAGCCCAAGCAGCGAATAGGTAGGTTTATATATTACACGAATGGCTTCACTTTGCGAACCCTAGATCATCCTAGATAAATTAGGTCCGTATTGCTGTTATCGTGTTCGCTTAACCCACGATAATAGCAAACATGATATCCGACAATGAGCACAGGTAGCTGAGTATACAAAACACCTCTCTACAGAAATAACACATGATATTGCCGACCGACCCCTGGTATACAGGTAGTCGCATTTCCCTACCTAGGGCCGGTCCGTGTGACAGTTTGTCTGGTTCTATCTATCTCTCATACACACTTGGGGATATAGCAACTGTTGCTACTGCTAGTTATAACAACTCTTACCATTCTACTTAGAACGCTGCTTGGTTGTAGTTATTTAAGGATAGCAATACTTATACATCCCCTCAACGTTCATCTCAACTTTGCCAGACATCACAGTAGCGAAAAAAAAAGGATTTTGAACTCATAAGTGTACCATATCCGGATGAGGTCTATCTCAAATCGCCAGCCAGCCTTGTATACTAGCCGGGCGGCCATAGTCTAGCTCTAACACCGCAATATCCCGTCAGTATCGAACGAGATATTTTCCCAATTCCATCGTTACCATCCAGTCCCGGCCAGCTTCACTCTGTAATCATTACTTTTCGAATCTTCTTGTCTGTCCGTGTGTCACGTGTATGTATCATCATGTTGCGCACCATGGCCGTTTTGGGGGCGAATACTTCTAAGACTCAGGCTCTTCAACCTCCGGCTTGGCGGCTTCAGCATCCGTCATCTCTTCATCCTTGTTACCCTCGGCCTTCTCCGGCTCGGCGGTTTTACGGGCTTCCTCATCGGCAGCCTTCTTTGCCGCCGCTTCGGCGTCAAGTTTGGCTTGCAATGCTTGGCGGTCAGCCTCGACCTTGTCGAAGTATCTCTGGGTAATGGGACCAGCCATGGCTCGAATTTCGTCCATCTTGGCAATGTAGATAGCCTTGGTGGCGTCCTCGCCTTCCTCGTACAACCAATCCTATCAAGAGTTAGCCACATCGCATTAGTGCACATAAACAACGTGAAGAACCTACCTCGCTTTCGGTGAGCTTGGATCTCAGCTTGTCCTTCTCTTCCTCACTAGCGAAATCGGCAAACTGGTCGTCTAGCTTGTTACGCATATCATAGATATAAGTCTCAAGTTCGTTCTTCTTCTCCTCTGTATCAGCCACTAGTTTATCCTCCATGATCATAGCTGCTTCCTTTTCAAAGAGGGTGCTCTTGGCGTTGGCATCAAGGGAAGTGGTTCCGGCAACGATGGGTAGATCGCCCTTGCGAACTTGCTTCTTCACCTTTCGCGTCTTAAGCTTACCCTCCGCCTTCTTGTCGTCTGTATCCATAGCCTAGAAGAAAATGTCAGTTGACGTTGTGTCACGGAGTAGCCTATCGGTCTAGCGACATCATTAGGAGACAAAACTCACATCAGGATCTTTCTTCTCGCCATCTTCCGTCTTCTCGTCCTTGATCTCCTCCTCGACCTCCTGGTCTTCGACGTAATAACCACTTTCCACATTCAAGATACCATGGATGTTAACCCTGGCTTTGAGTTTACAAATCATGAATTCGGTCTTGGGGTCAGCCTTGACTCCCTTAACAGAGAAACGACCAATGAACGGAGGAATCTTGCCGGGGAGGTCCTCGGGCTTCGAGTATCGTGCCTCCAGATCAAAAGGCTGTTTTCTGTAGAAGGTGAGAATCTTAGTTGAAGGAAGAACATTGCCTCTGTTGAATACAGTCAAGCTTGTGTCCTCGTCGGGAATATCTACGTCCTTCTCCCATGAGAATTCGATAGGGTAGTGAACAATATCCGAGACGGAGAAATCTCGGACCTTAAACACAGGCGAAAGGATAGCACAGGCGAAGGCACAGCCCCGAGCGATGGCCTCATCTTGGTTAAGAGTGAATGAAAGACCCTTGCCGAAAAAGGCTTGAATTCTTTCCTTGATAGCTGGCATACGGGTGCTGCCACCAACCAGCTCAATGTAATCAATATCGTCTTTAGTCAGCTTGGCATCGGCGAGTGCCTGCTCCAGTGGTGCAGTGACCCGGTTTAGAAGGGGCTCAACGAGGGCCTCGAATTCTTGCCGTGTGACCATAGCGTTCACGTCAATATCGTTCATGAGCGACTCGATGTTTAATGGAGCTTGTTGGTTCGCGGACAGAATTTTCTTCATCTTTTCGGCACCGGCCTCGACACGGGCGGCGGCCTTAGGGTTGCTCGTGATGTCAATCCGATACTTGCCCTTGAATTCCTTTGCGAAATGATTGACTAGGGCCAAGTTGAAATCACGACCACCAAAGTGGCGATCGAAGGCAGTCGACTTAACAGTCAGTTCGCCCTTTTTAAACTCAACAACGGAGCAGGAATAGTTGCTATGGCCGATATCGATAAAGGCGACACGGCGCGGCTTCTCGTTTTCGGCGGGCAGATCAAGCTTGGTGATACCGTAGCCCAAAGCGGCGGCTGTGGTGTCGTTCATGATTCGAAGTGGCTTGAGGCCGGCGATCTCGGCAGCATCAAGAATGCTTCGTCGCTGGATGTCGGTGAACCATGGCGGTACGCTCACAACCACATCGGCCACTGGCAGCTTGAGTTCGGTGGCAGCAGTTTGCTTAATCTTGCTCAAAAACATAGCAACAAGCTGTGTGGCTGAGAACTTCTCCTTCTTGCCTTGGTACGAGACCTCGGCGCCCACCTGGCCATTGCAGTCTACAAGGGGGGCCGAGACATATTGCTGCTCGATCTGAACTTCGGGGTCTTTGAGAGCGCGGCCAGCAAGACGCTTCAGGGAACCGACGGTGTTCTTGAGGTTGGAAATTTCTTGTGTCTTGGCCGGCTCGCCAAGGTAGCGGGACTTGGGGCCGAATCCTACGAGGGAACTGAAGCCAAGGTTAGTTAAGACGAGCTGAGCTATCTTCAGCCAAGCAGATGACACTTACGGTGTGGCACGGTTAGACACTTCATTTGTAATCTAATCAACCAAACGATACGTCAGCCTTGTTGATGGGGTCGCACTAATATGAAATGGACAAGGAGAGGGGTGTGACGTACAACATCGACACCTCGATTTCTCGCTACAGCAATAACTGTGTTGAGCGTTCCGAAATCAACACCTAGAAGAACACCAAGGTTAGCAGGCAGAGCACAAGACAGATGCGCCGGGGATGCCTGGTGTCTGGGACATCTGGGCGGGGGTGAACATACCAACGACACTCATGTTGTCTGAGGGGAAAACGTGAACAAAGGTAGGAGTGTGCTCGCTGAATGGAATTCTCGATCGAGAATCGGTGTAGGCGGGTTGTTTTTGGAGGATTCAGCAACAAACAAACAGAGCAAGCGGAACAGGAACCAGTCGCAGCGGTGAGTGGGAGAGAAGGTCGGGAAGTCGGCGGCGGTCGGAGATACTGTGAAACCAGTCGTCTGCAGTTGTTAGTTACGGTGGTTGGATGTGTTTTAGTTTTTAGTGACTGCCTCAAGCACCACAGTAGAAGGGCGATTTCTTTAAATAAGGAGGGAAAAAAAAAAGCTGCCCAAATGCGCACTACAGGTTTACAGGCATCGACTACCTAAGGGAAAGAGCGAGGGGGATCCAGGCTCACCAGGGCGATCTTGTTTGTGGTGGTAGAATTCTGGTGCAGGCTAGCCTCACCCGGACTGCCCCTCCTCCTTCCCTAGCAACACCCCCCTCCTGGCGGGGGCGTGCCATCACATTTTGCTGCGACGCGAAACTTCTAGACGCTTCAAGCAACATTTCGCAACGCATGCGGTCCACCTGGCCAAACAGCGGCCACCGCCAGCCTTGTCCGCGAACCCATGCATTAGGTAATTCTTGTTTACTATTATGTGTCGCCAAGTGTTCCCTGATTGTCTCCTGCCGCGTCTTTAATGTTTCCCAGGATATAAATATTTAATCACGCTCTTATTATTGTTGTTTTCTATCCTTCTCTTCCGTCACAGCCGTCTTGGCCAGATATAACAACTACAACCACCCCTACTGGCCCCCTTATCACCCCGCCTCCAGTGTTATCGCTGTCTATCGCTCCTCGAGTCATGGTGGGGTCGAAGTGTATTTTTTCCCCCCGCCCTGACCGCCCCACTAAGTAAAATAGATGATGTAGTCTCTACATACATACCAATTACACTGGAAGATTTCTTTTGGCCAATAAGCTCCCGAGTTTCTTGCTTTTTTGAACGTTATATTTTGTTGGAGAAGATTTAACATTTTGATACTATTGTGATCATTTTGTTGATATCTTGGGGTGTCTGAGCAGATGTGGCATGGGTGTTAAGTGCTCTTGTTTTATACTAGGTTGGATGAACTACGGTCGTTTTGTCATGTGACAGACCACGAATTTCCATAGAGTGAACAGACTACGTTGAGGTCATATTGATTTTTCAAATTTTATGTTTATTTTTGTTAGTCAACTACGTGCTTCTTATCTGCCCACGATGGTTCAATACCGCGACACACAGCTTCGTAATCGCGGAACTTCTGGTCATCCAGTGCCAGTTTCGGCGTTGTCCAGAACATG